GATCCCTTCTCCTCCATTCTCCTCTCAGGATCTTGGGCATACGCACACACGCACCCAGCATGAGTTTCAAGCCACTAGGTCCGGGACATGAACCGCAGTTGACTACATGGGAGTCCAGTGACATAGCCATTACGCTAACTGCTGGTCCCAGAGATTTTCAGCTTTTAATAAAATATTACTTCAAACAGTGTTTTGATATTTTAAAAATAGTTCCCTTTCTGTTTCATATTTAATTAGTGTTATGTATTTCTTTAAATATTTCTCCATTCTCTATGGAATTATTCTGGCCTTAATTTCTTTGGAGAGGTTTTCGCTATAGGGCGTGTGCGCTCACCAGACAGACAGAGACATAGAGACAGAAAGTGAGAAATCACCCCCAGGGGGGATGGTCACGCCGCAATCCCTTCTCCTCCATTCTCCTCTCAGGATCTTGGGCACGCACGCACATGCGCCCCGCGTGAGATTTAAGCTACCGGGTCTGAGACCCGAACCGCGGTCGACTACGTGGGAGTCCAGCGACATAGCCATTACGCTAACTGCTGGTTCCCTATACCTTTTTTAAAAAGAGTCTAGCATAGTACCTTACATATGAGAGACTAAAAAATGTGAACTGATCGGTAAAATGACTGTACTGAGTTCCAACATTTGAAAGATTTATGACTTTTAATGAAAATCTCATTTGAAATAATGAAATTCATGTTGAACACTTTAAAAATCAAACATTAAATAACTGAAAAATATGATGCTTAATTAATGTTCAAGGGGCCTCTAGTTTCATGGATTTCTCCCAATTCCCCTAAAAGAAAATACATATAAAGAAATGAAGCTATAGCAGTATTGTGCCAAAGGTCCATCAGGATCTACTGTTGTGTAGCAAAGGAAAGCAGAGGTCAGGTTGGCAGATTCTCACTTCGCTGTTTTATAGATGGGGTGTTCCCATGTCACTGCCCTCCTTCCTCAGCTTCCTGGCTATGGGTGCACAGCACCATGCCTAGCTCTTTCAGATGGAGTCTCACACTAAGTTGCCCAGACCAGCCTCTAGCTTGTGGTCTTCCTGCCTTGCTGTCCCCGAAGCCTAGCCTTTAGGCTGGACCAGGACTCAAATGTAGGCCTCGCATGTAGGTCCCAGCCTGGGGAGCTCAGCATCCTAGCAGCGCATGCCACCGCAGCGCCGCCTCCACTTCACATGTTTTGACACAACCCCTGCGCATGTGGTTTGTTTGTTTTACCTCACCTTGCTCCAGACAAAATTAAAACAACTTACAAAATCACATAAATTAAGACTCCAAGTTAAATAAGCAAGAAATAAGGGTGGGGATGAAAAATAAAGCCAGGAATGATGTCAAAAAATGCACATCATAAAGACCTATACACTTAGTATGGGCGGGGGATGCAGTTGGCTCTGGTTTTGTAGCAGTCGACACACAGAAAAACTTGGTTTCAATAACACAAAATAAATACAGTTGTCAGGAAAAAGAAAATCCTAACTTTATTTGGACACACAGAACAGTGAGAGGTTTTCTCCAGTGTTTTTATAAAGAGGATGCTGTGTGATTTAGTAAGTCGTGGCTAGTAATCCTCTTAATATGCACAAGTGAAGGTTTCATAATTGACCCCTACAGTGGACTTCAAGTCGGTATTACACCAAATGCACTATCCTAAAGCACAATCTAATAAAATGTTTTAAAGTGGGCCAATACTGTTGTCAAGGACTTTGAATGGTCTGGGAGTTTATCTTGTGCACAAACTAACATGCATAGTTTATGGATACTAGCAAAAGACGCAAGTTTCCTGGGTCAAAGACAAAGGACAATTGCAATAACCTTTATACCAGCATTTCTCCTGGTTCTAGGAGCCCCAGTTCCCATCGGACAACACACAGAGGTACAGGTGATACTTACACATGTCATGTGTTGTGTTACACACAGGAGAGTAACACTAAGCTTTGGGAACTCCAATCTTTTCTAATGGGAAGTGATCAATACCTTTATTATATGAGATAGCAGATAGAATGATTTCTTCTGAGGCTGTTTGCTATACACATACTCTTGAAAAGATAGTCTGGAGCTGAGAGAATCAGTGCCTCTGCTTGTGAGATGTACAGAAATAAATATGAAGGGCCTTGGAGAATTGTCTCCCGACAATTGTACAGCCCAGGTCATGCTCAAGTGCTCTCTGGAACTAGCCTTTCCCCTACCTGGAGCAATTTCATTCGTACTTACTCAAAACGTATTTACTACATTCTTGGGTTCTAGACCCTGGGGTAGCAACAAACAAAAGGGACATGGTTCTCGCCTTCACACACACACACAAAATTCCTGCCTTCACACACAAAGAAAACGTGTGGAGATGGCTACAAATGTGTCCATGTTCAACCAGTTCTTCCAGATGCGATTGCAACAAAAACTGTCACAAATATTGACAACTAATTTAATAGTCTACAATCTCAGAAGTATCTGGAATGTAGCATTTTTATATTTCCAGATAAATAGATACTGCCTGAAGAGGCATTTGAACCACGGATAGGGTTGGCCTTTTCTATTCAAAACAGAGAAAGCTAGCAGGGAAGCGCAAATTATTTCATAGTCTGTTTCCAATGGACCATGGTCAGAGGTTAATTCTTCCTTGAAAATAACCTAGATCCTCTAATGACTACCTGACTGAGGCCTTGAAGTTTTATTATAGTCTTTGGAGTATTTGAATACCTGTTTGGGTTGGGGCTCTGACCTGACAGAAAGCTCTGTTTTTGGAGAAAGTGACAGGACCTCTCTGACATGGTCCCTCCTCTTTGTTCTGAGGTGAACACTAAAACTTTTATCTTTACTAAATACTCATCTATCCTGGTAGATAGCTTTTGAATTTATAATGCAACTATCTTTTTCTGACAAAATAACCAGAGATTGACTTTTATTTAACTATCCTACAGTTAGTTCCAAACTGCAGGTAATGATCACTAATGTGGATTAGATTACGCCGATTGGCTAAGCAGAGGCCAGTTCCTGAGTCCTATTGCATAACCCTTGTGCCAGCCCCTCAAGCTGATTTGAAAAGCCAGACCTCTTTATGATATTGCTGCTGGGTTTGTTCCCCTCAGAAAAACTGTCATCTCCCTCTAGCACAGTGGCCTTGCTGGCTTACCTTGATGGCCATGGCCTAGCGAGGGAGAACCAGCAGGGCAGCTGGATGACCGTCCAAACACAGGTTTGAGGGCGCAGCGTAGTCAAGTGAAAAATCAGAGATGAAAAAGACCTGCTAAGTAACCCAGTCCCTTCCGCAGCCTGTGCCAGAGCATTCCTAGGGTGAGAGCTTAGACCCCGCCAGCTCTAAATGACTTTAACAATGCACCTTCTCCTGCTTTATTTGGAAGATGTGGCTGTCTCTTCAATTTTTCTTTTTTTATTTATTTATGAAGTCTTCTACCCAGAATTTCATTTAACCAACATTATTCATTTTCCTCTTCCTGTGTTTGGCTGAGATACAGTCGCCCTATGATATAAGCTATTTTCGAAGAGTCCATGTAAATATACAAACAATATTTAAAGTGCTTTATTAACCCAGTCTTTCCACAATATTGGGACATATATTTGGCACAATACGATGGGGGCGGGTAGTTCTATTCCAAAGCCTGTTGAAATGATTAACCATTGGATTACTCTGGTTTGGTAGGACACTTAGCCTCGCTGAGCCTCGGTTTTTCTCGCTAACAAAATGGGCATGGTCACTGTGAGGATTTGCATGTTCCCAACACGAAGTAATGACAAGTTACTGATTTCAATCCTGACTTAATGATCACATATTGTATTCTTCTACAGAAAAGTCACATGGTACTCCAAAATACATACAATTGTTACATATCAAGAAAACAGGTCAGTAGCGCAGCAGTAATGCTTGCTGCTATGTGAGAGTGACCAACCTGAGGATCTTTCCAGTGCCGTCTGGAGAACTCCCTGAGTATGCCAGGCATGCTCATTCCCATAATTCAGAGATGGAGAAGCTGGGGGTGCATTGCAGCTTCAGGATCATGTTGGAGTGCTGTCTGTCTCTCTCTTTTTTCTCACTCGCAGGAAAGATAAATAAACTTTAAAAAATGATCAATCTACTTTTAAAAAAATATAATAATATAGATAAAGATACTATTGTAGAGCTTGCCCTATAGCCAGGGATCAATTAATAGTAATACCCTCTTTTTGTCTCTACAGGCATACCTGTAGGAGATGTGTGTGTGGATGTCTGTGTGAATATGTATATGCATGTATGTATTATATGTAACATCTAGCTGAAAAGCCAAGGGCTCACTCTCTCTCTCTCTTTTCTCTAATTGCCAGAGGGTATGGGTCCTCATAAGAGAGAAACAGAGAAACTGAAAGAAAGAAAGCACCCCCACAACAGGGCACGCCTTTCTCCACTCAGTCAGGAGTGGGGACGTGCACATACACTTGCCCGCTGTAGTTGTCAAGCCTCTGGGGCCAGGATTCCAACTGTGGTTGGCAACACTGGATCTTGTTCCCTTAACCACTAGGCTATGGGGCCAGTCCATCCAGGGCTTTACTCTAAAATGCACCTCATCGTATTTGAACTTAAGGATGGTTTAAAGTGTATTTTTATGCGTTTGCTCCCATTTGAAAGAATCGGGTAGGTTTATTGGGTAATAAAAACCAGCTTCATTTCTAATAAGATTTTATTTTATGTTTTTAATATTTCCAGTGGTTTTTAAGAATATCTTTTTTGGATTCCTTAAAATAACTCATGACAAGTTTCAAAATTATCTACATACTTTTTCTTTCATAAATATAGATTAGCCATAATTTCAATTTTTATGCCACAGAGGAAAGGAAAGAGACACAGTTACCACTTAGCAGAGGGAAATGTGATGATATGTTTTGCTGTTGTGCTTTTTTTTTTTTTTTTTTTTTGGTGTGTGTGGGAAAGGGTGTGATGTCATCTTGTCTCCACCCCCTGTGAGTAAGCCCACAGTACAGCGAAGTGCAGCCGCCCGCCTCTGTCACTGGGAGACAGTCCACTTAAATGCAGCTCCAGGGTTGTGGGGCACCCACCAGCATCCCTCCCTGTGCGAGGTGGCAAATGCAACATGCTCTCCAGCTTGGGGTGTCTACTTCTCTGTGGAAGTATTGCACTAGCTCTGGGAAATGCACAGAAATTGCCAAAAGGCAAGTAGCTCTGACGTTTTATGTTTTAAAAATAATTTTAAGAGAGACTTGTTTTTAAATGTTGATATTAAATATGATCTGCTTTACCATATGGGGGGACTAGAGTTATTCTGCAAAGAGCCAAAGTTTAAATGTGTGGAGGAGTTAAACTTTTGCTTTCCCCCTACTGTTATTTACTTTTTGGTTGCAGCTTTTTATTGCAAAAATGAAAAACAACTTATCGAGTTGAACAGATTTTCACAAGAGCTTGAATGGTGGTGTTGCAAACTACAATATTTGTGTATTGAATCATGTTATGTAAATGGGGATTGTAGTCTGTTAAAACTGTTGTTTAGTATTTTGATCCCCTTCCCTGGAGCCTAAACAAGCACTAGCCTAAGGTCTAACAGAAGCTAATACTGAAGTGGGTGTCTTTGGTGTAAACCCCAAGCATACCTGTTCACCAGGAGTCTGAGGAGTCCAGAGAGGTCCACCAGAGTGCAATCATGTGCTAATTGGTTGACACTTATTCCCGGTGGAGTTTGGAAGAGGGTTTGTTCTGCTGGACAGCACACTCCTCCTTTGCCTGGCTAAATTACTCTCATTTTAGTGTTGGTATTTTGTTTACAAACGTCATTCGAAGAAAATTAAAATGTCTAAATTTAGACTCTAAAAACAACCCCTTGAGCCCATCAGCTCCTAAACAAGAGGCTCTCACCCGTCTTTGAACATGGATGTGGCATGTACTTTTGTTCCTCTGCAGAGGCTCTTTTCTCAGCCAACTCTAGGTCTGTGAGGCTTTTTATGGTTGCAGACTGCTGTAGTCAGCAGGATTATGGAAAACAGGCTGGAATTTGCCGTACAGTTATGATGGAAAATATTGGAGGTAAGACAGAGCCCCAGGTTTGACAAATGCCTGGTGTGTTTGGAGGCAGACAGAAAGGATGTTAGTGTCAGAATATCCCAAAGACCATTCCTAGGTCCTCTCTCCAGATTTTTGGCTCCGGATCATCTTGTCTCAAATGAAAACTGTTCTTTCCTCAATGGGTAAAGTGAAACTTGAATCCAGAATGTGAAGACTGAAGCTTTTGGCCTGTTGATATTTCACATGATGATGTGAAAAGCCATAAAAAAGACTAAGCAAGCCTTCTCAAATCTCATCAAATAATTATGCAAGGAAAAACAAAAATAAACATTGTTAGAGCTTTCTCTTCTAGTCTGTCCTTTGATCACAGGAAAACCATGAGTTAAACAAATCAATTTGAGGAGAATCTGATTCCCCCTGAAGCTCAATACCCACAGATGGCTTTCTTTTTTAACTTTGTATTCACTGTGTAGAGATGAGAGCCATAATTTTGTTACTGCAAACTTCTGCAAATTCCAAATACTTTTATTATCATGTTGTAATCACTGGATACAAATCTCCTGACGCTATTTTCCTTTACTTGTAATGGTAAAGAAAAACTAAATAGTTGTCAAACTGGCCGTAAAACTTTTGTCTAGTTCATTGCATTTTAATCTGAAATGTTTTCAGCCAGGCTTCTTTTGTCAATCTAAAACTATGTTCATAGTTCTGACAATTAAAAAAAAAAAAAAAGGCTGTCAAGTTATAAGGATTATAAAATAAATATCAAGTCTCTTTGTTTTTAATACTATGATATTTTTCCTTCATTATGAAAGCTGCTGAACTTTCTTTTAGCTAAAATCACCTTTCGAAAACTATGCTCCAGGAAAAGGACCACACTGTCCTACAATGAGTGGGTGTGGGAACAAAGACATTAGCTCAATAATTTGGGGGTGTCATAGTGGATATTAGCATTTTATAGGTTCTGAACATTGCTCAGTAAAGAAACTTGTCCAAACTTTTTAAACTCATTGTTTCCCAAACTCATTTGACTAAGAATCCTCTTTTCGGTAGAACAGCTATAATAGATTACCAGGGTTTGTCTATCACAAAACACTTTGGGGGTAATTCTGGACTGTAAAAGAAAAACAGGATAGAAACAGGATAAAGGGTTATTTTATTTTCTTCTTCCTTCCTAACGTCCTTAAGATTAGCTAAATACTGTCTGTGATTTACAGAGAGGATAGAGGGTCCGTAGGTGGCTTGATGGTTAAAGGCACTGGACTCATATGTGGTTAACTGCTGTTTGGGTCCCAGATCTGGTGGCTTCCTTTCTCACTTTCCCCTCTCTTTCTCTCTCTCTGATCAAACTGGAAAATAATAACAATAATAGTAGTAATAAAAATAATAAATAAAGTTAAATAAAATAATTTTTTTTTTAAAAAAAGAAGGGGATAGATGAGTTGGCCTGTGGCCTGGTAGTCAAGGCACCAGGATCCCACATGGGAGATTGAGTAGTTCGACCCTAGACCTAGCGGTTTAAGAAACACTATGGGCATGTGTGTGTGTGTGTGTGTGTGTGTGTGTGTGTGTGCCCAAAATCCTGAAAGGAGGGAGAAATGGAGAAGGAGGGATTGTGGTGTGACCATGCCCCAATGGGGGTGCTTTCTTGCTTTTCCTCTCTCTCTCTCTTTCGACCAAGTGCATGCACCCTCTGGAAAATTAAAAAAGAATAGAATTTTTAAGCCAGAAAGGACATTAGTGATCATCTAGCCTAGTGGTTCCCAGATCCCTGGATTTATGGATCATAAAAATACATCGATATTCTAATATCGGGGGTCTATTACAGAGGACGCACTTGAATTTTGCCATATCAGCATGCTCAAAGTGGGAGGAAACTCCTATTGTTCATAAAGCAAACTATTTTATCAGATTTAGAAAATAAATTACTTTAACTATATAAATAAGTCCATTGTCCTTATTTTTCTCATTTTACCACACACTGATGGGAAGTTCCTTACAGACTAATATTTGGAAACCACTGACCTAGTTTAACTATTTATTTTATAAATGAAAGCACCCAAGGGCAGGGGAGATGTAGAAATTTTCTCACTTTAATGACAGAGCCAGGACTGGATACTGAGCTTCTGATTGCAAATCCAATTTTTTTTTTTTTTTGAGAGGTTTTTGCTATAGGGTGCATGTGCTCACCAGAAAGACAGAGAGAGACAGAGAGATAGAAAGCAAGAAATTGCGCCCCAGGGGGCATGGCCATGCCACAATCCCCTCTCCATTCTCCTCTCGGAATCTTGGGCACGCATGCATATGCACCCAGCATGAGTTTAAGCCACCGTGTCTGGGACTTGAACCATGATCGGCTACATGGGAGTCCAGTGACATAGCCATTACACCAACAGCTAGTCCCATCCAAATCCAAGTTCTATCCCGCCTCCTGGGTAAGCAGATTCTTCCAACTCAAGCCTTAGGAATCATGTTGAATGCCCCATCAATGCTACCCTTCCTCAAATAAAATTGTTTCTTGTAAAGTTCTGAAACATCATCTTAACTTTTACATCTCCACAGGAACATATCCACATTTTATGTACATATATTCAATTGGTTATTTGTTAGCAGTCACTTGCTTCATGCATGTTTTTTATATACTTAGCCACATACTTTGTTATATAAATAAGTTGCTAGAAGATTTGTGCTTACTTTTTAAAAGTTCAAAGTTAGAGACTACTGTTAATGAGTATGTGGGGTTTTCTTTAATTATTTACTTTTGCTAAGCCTCAGCTTTCTTATCTGTAAAATGGGAATAGTGATAAACTATCTCATTGTATTTTATGATTCAATGAGATGAGACACCAAGCTTTTAGGAGAGAATCTGACACATAATAGGTGTTCAATAAATGCTTTCTGGGTCACAGAAAAGTAGATCGATGTTTTAAAATATGCACACCAAATAGTACACGATCTTGTATCCAAAATGTAAGAGATTTGTCTCAGAGTTAGAACACAAGATGGCAAAGGGATAGATAGAAAGGTAGCAAGTGAGGTGGCATGTTGCTGGAGAAGAGGTGGGGTGAGGAGTTAAGTGTTCTACATGGCAGTGACATGGGCCTCTACTGTGTTCTAGCCTGACTGTCTACATGGCAAAATGTTAGTCTTTGCAGAAAGCTCTGCCTCTACCTTCAGAGCAGCCTCCCTAAAGGGGCTGGTAAGCCCTCATGACGCTCTAAATGAGCTCCTCACCAACTCATTTTTCAGGAGAATTCAGCCATAGCACACAGGCCCGTGAGAAGAATTATCACATTGTTTCATACCTTTGGAAGCCCCTGTGCTCCCACTACCCCTTGGAATCTTTATTCTTGGCACTGTAAATTTTTTTCCTGGCATAGAGGTGAAAATAAAAACCACAGAGAACAATATGTAGTGAAGGGAGCCAACAAAATCTTACAATAGGACGTCAGTGGCATCACACACCTCCGCACTGAAACTCCCGTGTACGGAAGATTGGGTTTAGCCTGAAGGCAAGGGTTACTCTTTCTACGCAAGTCTGTTACACACGTGTGGAATAACCACACAAGAATGTCCAAGATACAAATGTCATCAGATGGCCTCAGGGCATGGGGATCTTAGCGTGTGATTCTAGGCATGGCAGAGAAAAGAGGTGGCCGGGTTTTTGCCTCAGTTCTTACCTTACAGGGTCACAATTCCTGACTCCAGGGACAAAAAACACAGGGGCAGGTGATGATAATCATACCAGTAACCACCATAACTATAAATGAGCTAGTAATATTAATTACTAACATTGCGGGTACAGGTAATATTATTTGACCACATATTGCATGTGGTAATTTAGTGCTACCTATCTTTAATGTGGAAAATCTAGTTAAATTCTCAGAGCTCCTCTATAAGGTGAGTGACTTATTACTCCCATCACTCCTATTTAATAGAGCGTAAAGCTGTGCTTCAGGGTTTTTAAGTAACTTGCCTCAAGTTATATAGTTAGTAAGTGCCAAAAGACCATTCCTTTTATTTTGTTTTTAATTACCAGAGGTCATACACGCTTGCCAGAGAGAGACAAAGAGAGAGAGAGAGGTGAAAAGAGCCCTCTTCCAATGGGAGTGATCATACTGCAACATTTTCTCCTCCATTTATCCACCCTGTTGGA